AAAATAAAAGTTAAAATACAAAAATATGTTTTCGCCATGTGTGTCGCAGTGACCTCAAATAGGCTACAGCTCAGTGATAGTTTTGCTTAAAAGCAAAGCACAGATTTTCAGCTGCAGCCTGAAGTTAGGCTATACGGATACATGCAACGAACCTATAGTGTAGTCTTAGGGGGGAGGGGAGAATTGTTAGTATTGTGAACTACCAGTCGCATTGCCAGTAATATACCCAGTTAGGTCGACCTCCACATGGTCCCCCCTGGAAACTATCGTGCTGAATTCCAGGTGTATTCATTACGATAGGCTAACTGACCTGCCTTTTCATTCACACCTGTCACTTCTCACTGGTGCCCCACCAGCGTATACCGTTAGCGCGGGCGGGGTTACCATTCCATTATCATCCATTAAAAAAAAACCTAGAGTGTATGACCAGACTAATACACAAAAATAAAATTGTATTATGTAGATACAAGTTCAACATATACTCTACAAGAATGTAATGGAAGAATACCAGAGGGAAACTTTGTACAAAAGTCGTTGGTTTGGACACCTCTGTCCTATTCGTGTTACTACCGTGAAGCAGTTGTGTTTGAATGGCTGTTTGAAGGGTGGGATATGGCAGTGAATTTACAGGGTACAGAGAAATAACACCTGAGTCCTCAGGAATGGCAAGCCATGGGGAGGAGGCATGTCAAGGGTGAAACAGTATACTCTGTTATTTCCATAGTACCGCTTATGTTTATAGGTGACGGTTACCACTTTCTATCAGGTGGACCGTCAGCTTGTTTGCTATTCTAAGTTACATAAAAACAATGAAATATTATGGTTAGTAAACCTGTTCCGGTCACGCGGACGAAGTTACGGGTAAAAGCATGTATATTTGAGATTTTTTTATTGATATATACATAGGGTATTTTTAATGCAGGCCAATCAACGTCGACGAAATCGTAATTAAAAAATTGTCCATTGATAAAATTATTTCTGATTAAAATAAAATTCTTTTACGGCACGAAAAATATTTATATAAAGAATTTGAAATATTGGAAATAAAAAAAAAATTGGTATATTTTAACAGCATCGCGTGCATCATTTAGAGGCGTTTAAAAATATTTACCGGATGTAAGGGGGCGCTCTTGTTTGAAGGTGTCAGTCACAGGACAAGTTTGGTACAGAGGACAAACTTATAGCGGCGTGTAGGCCGGACCAGATTAAATAGAGCTCTCTAAAATATGGGTGAACACGGTTAACGTGATACTCGTGATCGCGTACTAAAAGAACGGATCTGTTTTCTTAAGTATTCTTAAGTAAATAGTTTGTGCATACAGTATTGTGGAGAATGAATAAATGTTTTGAATTTGAATTTTGAATTTTCTAGAGATAACTGATTACGAAATTTCAGTTTAAATAATATAGGTATGTAAATAAGATTATAATTCTGCTATTTGCGGGCTTAAAGAAGAATAAGAAAGTGATCATTTAAAACGGCTTAAAAAATAAGTTCATTTAAAAAAAAAGTTTTATTTTTTTTTATTTATTTATTATTCATTAGCACAAATATGTGTACATGACGGACTTAATGCTAAAAGCATTCTCTCCTAGTCAACCATAGGGAAATGTCAGAATACTCGAATGCGGTACTATTAATTATTGATATACATACACAATAAAATTACATATATAAATGAATAAATATATATGAATAACAAATATATTTACACATATACGATATATACTATATTATACACGAAATTGAGAATAATATAAAGCACTTACACTACTTACTTACTTATTACATGTTAATCGTGAATTATTTTTATTTAATTAACATCTGTATATAAATTTTAATTTATATACGCATTTTAGTGAATTAACAATTTTATTTAACAATTCCTTATTATTTATAAGTTGTTACTAGTAATTTTGTCTGCGTGACAGGTAGCCTATGTCATTTTCCATCCTATAGAGTACATATATTTTTTTATGCAACTTAGAATGGCAAACAAGCTGACGGCCCACCAGATGGAAAGTGGTAACCGTCGCCTATAGACATGAGCAGTACCATGTATACCAAATCACATTACCCATACACTATCTCATTATAATATAACTAGATCATATATTAATTACCAAAAAATAGTTTTTTAAAATGCGGTTTTATTAAAGTTTATCAATCGCTTTACACTTGGACTCGTTGTAAACAAGTATTTGCACAGAGGTTAGGATTAATACTACAGAAAATGTAAGGTTTTGAATTTTTCAATAAGGACGCATCGATTCCAGGGGTCCTTCACCCGTCAGATAATTTGGGGAGGTGGCAAAAAAACGCTCCATTCCATGATTTTATAAACATTATGCTTTCTTCATTTTCCCCTATTTTTTTTTTTTTTTTACATTCATCGAGATTCTTTGCTGCAATAAAAATAGCACTAAAAATTACTCTATCTTATTAGAGATTATAGTCGTTAAACTATTTATTTTTTTACTCTGATCTTCAATACCAGAAGCATCTCGGACGCGTGATATTGAGTCACAGTAGGCAATTTCTTAAACCAACTGTTTTTTTTAGTAACGTACGTAGATTCCTTTTTTGGTCTTTTATAAATATACACTTCATCATATCTTGATTTATCTTACCATTTTATTTTTAGAATAAAATAGAATAGAAATATTTTTTATTCAAATAAACTTGTTTAGGAGCTCTTTTAAATTGTCACTTTTATGATTCTAATGCTGGGATTCGGAATGTTGTTACTGCTCAGAACAAACCGCAAAAAAACCATTTTCAATATACTTATGTACGAGTATTTCAGCCGTTTCAGCCACTGCTGGACATAAGCCTTCCCCACAAGGGGAGTTTTGCCAGCAATTGCCACGCTTGGCAGGCGAAGTGGCAACCGCAGTTAGGCTTTTGGTGATGTTTTAAGAGGAACATTGCTGCCCAACCCTCGATCATTAAGTTCTCTTAGTCGCCTTTTACAACGCCCACTGGAAAGGAAAGAGTTGCCCATTCTGTGGCAAAACTACACGACAATTTCATGGAAAAGAATTTCACACTAATAGTTAATAGAAACAAATTTTTCGCAAATTTGACTTAAATATAGTAATAATTGGATTTTAATAAAAGCTTGTAAAGAGTTTGTACTTCAACTATAATCCCCGTCAGATACATTAATACCTCCTGATCCAAACATCCACAATGGAAGTGTCAAATTTTAAACCATAAATAAGCCTAAACTTCAAAGGGGTTGGTTGACAGGAAATCGTTGTAAAATATTCTCCCTCTATTTGAAGGGAGAGCTGCATTCGTATCCTTTATCGCTGTACTGTATATTGTATAATTTGACCAAACTTAATTGGTCCTTATCATCCACGAGCTCCCTTCAACTGTCCTCATTGAACACTCTTTGTGCAGCTCAACTTACACTGGTTGCTGGAAAGATAAGGTCGAAAATTGAGTGACTAACACTTGTTGCGGAGAGGTGATTGTATTTGCGTTCCACCCTTCGCAGGTGACAATGTTCCTGATAAAGCGGCAACGATTTATAAGTGTCAAAGTCACCAATTCTGAAGAAGAATTGTGTTTTGATTGAAGTTTTCACTTTTCTATCGGTCATGTGTTTGATAGTACAGAAAAAAGAGTGTAGGATATCAGAAGGAAAATAATAATATAAAAAAAATCAAAAAAGAACAATAAACTATCTGATCCTCAAGTTAAATTGTCTTGTGTAATGAAACAGACAGTTAAGAGAACTTTAAGTTTCAAGAGAACATCGGGGAGCAAGGCCCAGGATACCCGAGCCAAGTCAGAAAAATCATTTTTTTTAAATACCACAGAGGTGGCATACAAGCATACGACCCATCTGATGGTAAGCGGTTACCGTAGCCTGTGAACGCCTGCAATACCAGAAGTATTACGCGCGCGTTGCTGACCCTGAAGAAACCTCTTTACCCTCCTTTTTAAGAACCCCATGCTGTAGTCTCTTGGGAAAACCTCGGCAGGGAGCTCATTCTATGTGTTCTGAGTGTTCGTGGGAGAAAACATCTCTGATACCGCGTTGTACGCGACCATTTAGGTTGTAGGGTATGATGTAGGGTGAACTCCCTGTCGACGGCGAGCGGTACGATGATAGAAAGTCCCTGTTTCATAAATTGTCCCTGTTGGGAATCTAATCCTGGACTTCACCTACACAAAGTGAATTCACCTAAACAAACGTATTCATCATTGCACCACGGAAATCGTTTATATTTGTTTATGTAACCTTCATGAACATAATATTAGCTGTTGACAATCCACTGCTCCTTCTATTGGGGGTGTGAGCGACAAAGGAAACCAGGAATGGAAAATGGAAATATATGTATATTAGTCAAAGGAACTTAGAAGACTAGGAGCGTGAAGCAAGCCAAAAGGAAACAATAGAGAAGCGTGTCAATTTCGAATTTGGTAAATAATAATATAAAAATTATAATTAATATATGTGGCCTGTACTCCACAGGGGGGTTTGCCAGTGGTTGCCACGTTTGACAGCCGAGTTGGTTACCGCATTTAAGTCCTTGGTCCGCGTTCCTTGGTCGCCTCTAACGACACCTATGGGAAAGGAAGAAAAAAATCTCGTTCTATGCCTGAACTACACAGACTATTTAACCTTGTATGAGTGAAAACAATATCTGTATGTATCCATTCCTGTGGATATACTTAATATATTGCAGAAGTGAAACTAGACATATGTATGAATATAAAATTATTAATCACTACATAGTATAAAACAAAATCGCTGTCGCTGTCTGTCCGTCTCTATGTATACTTAAATCTTTAAAACTACGCAACGGATTTTGAACGGATTTTTTTTAATAGACAGAGTGATTCCAGAGGAAGGATTATATGTACAATACATGCATAATATAATAGAGAAATACTGATAATTTTAGAGGTTTACATGCGAAGCTAGGGCAGGTTGCTAGTTTTAAAATAAAATATGAACATTTCGAATTAAATAAAAATGGTCTAACTTTTATATTAAAATTTATTTTTTTACTCTTCCTAATAAGTGATATTCTGGATTATTCAGTTTCGTTTCTCCGGTGATGATGGATTCCAGTAATGCTTTTCATAAACTTTGTTCCAAAATTCATAACTATTCGCCAACAAATCTCTCTTCATTTCTAATCTATCATTAACAGACAAATAATTGGGCTGCTCATTTGAATATTTCAACCATTTGATGTCGATTAGAGAACTTTCATAGGCAGTCGGGTCTCTGAAAGTAAATTATTCAATATTAATTTAGCCTAAAAGGTTCATACAATAGTTTTAATAATAAACTGTACTCATGTAAAAAAAAAAATAAGTAAAAATATAAAAAAATATAGAAGACTAACTTTGTCTAGTCTTCGTGACCGGAATATGGTCACTGATCGGGATAAAAAGTAGCCTATGTCCTTCTCCATCCTATATAGTAATAGTATACCAAATTTCATAGTTATAAGGATGGGATTATTGGTAATTCGAACTACCAAACTCAAAACTAAACTACTGAACCAATTTTGATAAAATTTCTATGGGACTAGTCTGGAGGTACTCGTTTAGATAAAAAAATAATTTTCTATATCAGTTTATAATGGAGTTTTGAGGTAAAAATAAAAAATACTAATTGAGTTCTTGACATCTTTTTGAAGACCGTTGGAAAAGAAATAGTTTATGAATTGCATAAAGAAATGCAATCTTATATAATTAAACTAAGTTGTATTACTGATTAATAATAGGTTCAAATATACTTACTCGTATTTAACAAAATCAGTCCACATAAATGTGAGTCTGTCTCGAGTGATCATATCGTCAACCCTTTGTGTGGATGAGAAAAAGTCCAAAATATATGCTGTTTGATCCCTGTGACTAGCTCCCAGTATTCTGTCTGCATAATTATGTCTCATATTCAACCCTCCAATATAGGAAAACTCATATAAATACACAGATCTTTTACTTTTTGCTGCATGAAGTTTGGCTGATTTCAAAATCGAGTATTTAAACATAGAATCCGAGAAATAATCTACGTAACCTTGCAGATTATCAGGAGACACTTCTTTGTTTTTGAAATAATATTCTTTTATTTCATTTATAAAGTCATCTCTTAATTTATTATCTTTAAACACTAAATCCGCTGGTAGAAACGGATTGAAATCTTTATTCATCATTTCACTCCATTCTTCAAATTTAGATACTCTAGAAAGACCTTCCATGTTGGCGAAACCTGTTAAAACTGATATATCGTGGGAATTTTTGCTCAATATATCTAACGGTGACTCCGTAAGAAACGGTTCATTATTCTCAAAAACATTTTCGATGCATGGCGCAAATCCGAATGTACTATTTGTAAGGAAGAAATTTAGACTTTTTGCAGTTATATTAGCCACTGGTGCATTTAGAAAGAATTCATTCAATTCTCTCAAGTTTCCATTATCTTTGTAACCTAATGATATGGCTACATTCTTCACAGTGCTAATTGGATCTCTGTTTATCGCAAAAGGTGATAATGCTGACCCACTTTCTAGAATAATCTTATCGATTAAACCATCTGTAGTTTTGGATAGAGCCAACAGCTCGGCCATTGTTGCACCCACACTGAAACCAGCAACTGTGACTTTTGTAGGATCACCTCCAAATTTCTTAATATTCTTATTAATCCATCTTAAAGCTGCCACTTGATCTTTTAAACCAGCATTACCTGGGATTTCTTCTGTACCCAAACAAGCAAAACCTATAGCACCTATTCTATAGTTAAAAGTGATAATAATGACATCATGCCTGGATAAGTATGGGGTTCTCATCATATTCCCATTTCCTCCGGCAAACGCGCCACTATGTATGTAAACTAACACTGGTACCAAGTTGTTTTCATTTGCAACAGTCGGCACCATTATGTTCATTTTAAGACAGTCCTCTTCACCATAAAGCATAATTTCTTCATCTTCATCACCAGTGTAGTATACTTGTTGGCAAATTATGTTTTTGGCACTCGCATGCAATGGCGTTTTTCGCGGTTCAACTGGTAAAGGTGCCTGGAATTTTGTAAATGTTTATTTTCAACTTTAAAAAGAATAAAAATATATATTACTTATATACGTAACTATACTGAACCGAATCATATTTCAAAGCATTGTTATTTTAGAACAAAATCTTAAATAAACTATCATATTTATTTCATAGGTTTTTCCAAGAGACTACAACATGGAGTTCGTCAAAAAAGAAGTTAAGAGGTTTCTTCAGGGTCGGCAACGCGCGCGTAATACTCCTGGTATTGCAGGCTTTCATAAACTATGATAACCGTTTGCCATAAGGTAGGACGTATGCTTGTTTGCCATTCCAGTATAGAAAACAAATTATAAATACAATTTACTTTTTTAATAAAAAAACATATGCTCACGATTTCATTTCTGATAAATTATTCATAAAATTATTATAACAGTGATCGATTACCTATTACTACTGTAATACTCGATTCGCCCACACTGTTCCGAGCATTATATCCAACGTAGCAGCAGACAAGCCTACCACCATCACTCATCACACAAAATCATTTTAAAACTATTCGTACCTTAAACTTATCCCTTCCAGACGGCGCAGTCGCGTACGGAACACCGTAAAATTCGAAATAATCGCCATTCCAATACTTTTCACCAACAACAGGCCCTTCGTCCAATTCTACAACTCTCGAATGCTCCTCGGCTCTTATATTTATTATTAACACACAAAAAATAATAAATCGAAACATGTCTGTTACTTATTGTAAAATAAATCAATATTGATAATGATTTATCAGCCCGGCGAGTGACTGATAATGATTTAGATAATTTTTGTTAGTTTACACGTAATTATTTGTCATTGGATTATTAGCTAGATATAATTAAGAAATTAAACCTGAAGGGGATTAGAACAGAAAATTTATCATAAAAATTTAGCCATGTTTAACCGTAATAATTGCACCGGTAAAGTTGTGGTAATGAATTGTCGGTGTCGAAGTCTAGGTTATCTGATTTAAATGTACAATAAAACTGTAACTAGACTACAGTTGTATATTAAAAAAAAATACTAAACAACTTTTGAAGAAATTATTAATTAATTATAGCTGCCTAATTCAATAAATTCCTTTTCAACGGCAATATATCTTATTCGCATGGGAAAAAGTAAAAATTATTATCGCCACGCTGCGTGCATAGATGGCTAGCTAGAAAATTAATGAATTAATTAAATTAATTCATTAATTCATGACAGGACTTTTTCTTTATTTTAAATGAAGTTTAATGTGTGTGTTTTTTTTTATATATTTTAATATACTACGAGTATACATTTATATTTGTGTTAATCGATTTTCAAAAATGAAATTAATCTTATCTCATCAGTTTTGAACCGACTTTTATAGATAAATACTATTTATTGTTTCCTCCAAAAACTCACAATAATAAACTTATTATAAATACAAACAATGACAAGAAAAGATTACACTAAGAAAACAAAAGCGACCTCTTCCAAAGCATCCTTTTTGGATTTATAATTCTATTTGTAATTCACTTATACGTTTTAAAATAACAATAATAAAATTCCTATTTTATATTAATTTAATTACTATTGAAACCATTTTTTTTTAATTAATAAGCTTTTATAAATACCATATCTGCTATTAATTATTTTCCACTACTAAACATAAGTCTTCCTCTATTGGAGAATTTTGCTAGTAGTTGCCACGCCTGGCAGGCGGGTTGACAATCGCAGGCCTCGATGATGTTTTAAAAGAGACGCTGTTGCCCATCTCTCGACCATTAATTATACATATATATAAATACTAATCTATTATCTACGTAAAAGCCATTAATCCATTGTAATATAAAATATAAACTAGATTTAGATAGCATAGTAAAAGTAACAGAACACTGTAACCAAAACTAAGTGCGTTCGTGTGTTTTGCCAAACTTTATGGCGACGTTGGCAAAGTAAAATTGGTTTACGTTGGCCTGCGCAAGCTTTGTCTACGTCCTGAATAATTTTCATTTTCAACTACCTTTTGTGTTGTGTAAATAATGTTGAATGAAAGAGCTAAATAGCGAGTACCTAAATAGATGTATCTAAGATATTTAAGGTATATTAGACTAGCTCTATACCGCAGTATTACGTCCGTAAATCAATAAATAAAAATTTTCTATATTCCAAACTGGTATATAATTTATTCATGTAACGATTGTCTACGATAACATGGCACGCCCCTCCAAAATTTAAAGAATTTAAAATGTGTGTATGTAAATATATATACAAGGTTTCGACCATGGACTATAATACTCCTTTGGCTGGATCGGTACTGAAGACTTTTTCACAAATACAAGTAACTTTGTTTGAAAAATGGTAAAGAGAATGGTTATTATGTACCATTCTTTTTTTCACTTTTCACACCCCACACAAGACTAGGAATGTCACACACAGTGATACCACTAGTATTTTAGGCGTCCACAGTAACCAATTACCATCAAACGAGCTATATACTTGTTTGCTACCTTCGTGCTATAAAAAAATTAAGAATATACAGTGTTCTGTAAGTCGTGCTTGTAAATTGACCTTGTGTGTGGTAAAATGTAAGTTAGCTTTTTTAAAAGGCCGGCAGCACACCTGCAATGCCTTTGGTGTTGTGGGTAATCATGGGCGGCGGTAGTCACTTACCATCAGGTGAGCCGCAAGCTCGTTTGCCCCCTGTTGTAAAAAAGTTATAGATTCTGGCAATAGGTAAAAAAATATAAACAAAAATGAAGTAAACCAATTATTACAAAATAGTGGGCATTTTTTTATTTTTCTAAACTTAAATAAAAGAAAATTATCGCGTACAAAATATCCTTAGTGTAGCCAGGGCCTTATTCTAATTCATGCGAACAAAGCAGCGAGATGCAGCACGCAAAAAATATTATTAAACTGAATATGACGTCAAGTTGCTCCCTCAGTCCCAGGACGGGATATCAATGGAATTAATTCCAAATAGGTTCACTGTTGCAGGCTATAATTAAAAAATATCTATGTGAATGTTTGTAGGAAATTTATTCGACTCTGTTCTAATTGGTCGAAACTGTAATTTCCCGTAGGAGTCCAAATGGCAAGTTATAAGCTGAAAGCGGACTTTTGAATATCCTATTATCATTATGATATCAGCCTCAACTGACCACTGTTAAACATAGAGCTCCCTCTATTGGAAATTTTAGCTACTAGTTGTCATGCTTGGCATACTTTGGTGATGTTTAAAAAGGAACGCTGCTACCAATCCGATCTCGAATCTCGATCATTAAGTTCCCTTAGCCGCCTCTTAGACACTCACGGGAAAAGAAAGAGTGCCGAATTCTACATCGGGACTTTTTTTTTAATGGATGATAATGGAATGGTAACTCCACCCGCGCTATCGGTATACACCGGCGGGGCACCAGTGAAGAATGATAAGTGAGGATGAAGTAGGTCAGTTAGCCCATCGTGATGAATTCAACAAGAATTGTTCACGATGGTTTCCAGGGGGAACCACGTGGAGGTCGACCTAATAAGGTATATTGCTAGCAATGGGGCTGTGAAACTCCATAGCTAACAGTCCTTTTCCCCCTCTACATCGAGACTACCCTGCGAATTGAATATGTGTTCTGCATTAATTCAGTCAGCAATTTAACAATTTAATGTTAAAGTCCGAATTAAGGTTAAGATGAGATGAATATAATGATGATGAGAAGATGGATCTAGGATATAATCGAATAGGATTTTAGGATATTTTTTTTATACAACTTAGACTGGCAAACAAACTGACGGCCCACCTGATGTAAAGTGGTAACCGTCGCCTATAGACATGAGCAGTACCATGGACATAACAGAGTATACTGTTTCGCCCATGATACCCCCATGCGTTGCCATTCCTGAGGACTCAGGTGTTATTCCTCTGTACCCTGTAAATTCACGGATATAAGTTTATTTGTATGTTTTAATCGCACACAATATATTACATAGAATCCTTTTGATTCTATGATATATGAAAAACCTCATACAATTGTGTGCCACAAAAATACAAGATAATTGGTTGGTAAGATTTACTTTCGTCTCGAACTCATTGAGGTATACGTATTACATACTACCTCAATGACAGATCCCTTATTAATTTTGTGATAAATAATGTCGCTGTTTTTAGCACTCTATTTGTTTATAACTTATGTAATTTATGATGTTAGGTATCAAAATGTAGTACATTGAAAAAAATATGTGCTCTTACTTTTATGTAATCTTGTTTTATTTCTTCTCATGTAATCTTCTAAATAGAAACAAACAAATAGTTTCATCATCATCATTTCAGCCATTATCTGTCCACTGCTGGACATAGGCCTCCCCCATAGACTGCCGATAAGGAATGGTCCTGAATCACCTACATCCACTGACTCTCTGCAATGCATTTGAGATCGTCGCTCCATCTAGTGAGGGGTCGTCCTACACTGCGTTTGCCCGTATGGGGTCGCCAATCAAGAACCTTTCTTCCCCATCGATTGTCGGTTCTTTGGTTTATGTAACCAGCCCATTGCCACTTCAACAAACACAATAATTTCATTTAAATATAATTTAAAAAAATATTTTCAAATAATATTCATCATCGCTCTCGCCTATCACATGGGCCAACGTTGTAATCTACCCGATGAAATAATTCTCGAACCGGTTGAATTATTCGCTAATGAGTCGAGCTAATGGGGTTACTTTTAATAACGATTAACCCTTTCTTTTCGTCTAATTGCTTTGGAGAATTCGAGAAGGCGTGAAAAGGATTTAACAATGGTGTGAGTCCATCTTCTTGTAGAGTCGAAGTTTTTTTTTTTTCAATTGGTGAATACAGAGTATTTTTTTTCTGTACCAATGGTTTACCATGTAGGTATAGAAATACCAGTGAACTATCATAACGAAGTTTCAGTGCAGTTTTAGAGGAGCTTCCTCCTGCGAACATTCTGGTTGTGGAATGATCTTCCTGCTGAGGCTTTTCTTGAGAGACTTTTTTTTATACAACTTAGAATGGCAAACAAGCTGACGGTCCACCTGATGGAAAGTGGTAACCGTCGCCTATAGACATGAGTAATACCATGGACATAACAGAGTATACTGTTTCGCCCATAATACCCCCATGCGTTGCCATTCCTGAGGACTCAGGTGTTATTCCTCTGTATCCTGTAAATTCACGCCAAAATTCAAATTCAGACTACAGCATAAGGTTATTCTAAAAGGCTTATTAAGGGTCGGCAACGCGCGCGTGACATCCCTGGTGTTAAAGTCCTCAACAAACTACAGAAGGACCGTACGCCTGCTTGCTATCATCATTATATCAGCCTTTACTTGTCAACTGCTGAATATAAGGCTCATCCTTGGAGGATTTTGCCAGTAGTTGCCACGCCTGGCAGGCGAGTTAGCAAACGCAGTTACGCTTTTGGTGATGTTTTAAGACGAACGCTGCTGCCTAACCCTCGGTCATTAAGTTCCCTTAGTCGACTCTTTAACACCTATGGGAAACGAAGGTGTAGGCCATTCTATGCCGAGACGACACGGCAATTAAAATACTATATATTAATTTTATTTAAATTAAAATCTATATATTTTGATGTTTTTTGGTCGACTTGATTGATTCCGTTTTCGGAAACAAGTATAATTATTAAAAAGAAGCTCATAAATAAAGAAAATATTCATCAAAACCATACACCGCGATTCCCAATGCGATCTCTGCCAGTTTTTAATAGCACCAAAACTTCAGTATAGTTAAAAG